AGTTCTAATTAAAATAAATAAATAATAACAATAATTCTTTAATTTGCTCTCAGCCGGGCACTTTCGGTTCATTGCGTTACCTTTTGCTATTCAGCCAGATGGGAATGCCTATTTTGTCTAATCGATTTCAGCCAAATCAGATTGCATAACTGGAAATCGTTGTTCAATCTCATGCTGTATTTTGTCTTTTTATTCCCTTGATAACTTCTATTTCTTATGGACAAATTATTGATCTTGAATGCAATAAAACTTGTCACGTAGATAAGCAGAAACGCTTCACCTCACAGGAATCACATTTTAGTCTCAGCAACTTAGTAGTGTATTGCCAGCAAAAAAGTTATGCATCAGTCAATTCCAGCTTCGCCCATCCCCCTCCCCCAGCTTATTAAATGTTGGGCATTTGCATAGCAGCCTTGTTAGTCCTGGGGTGGGGCATTAACAAATTTTCTGTGACCTGGGTATCAGGGCCACCCCCAAGCTTTTCTTACACACATGGTTTCTGAATCAAAATCCAAACATAGAAAACGTTAAGAAATTTACAGAAAAAGACAAGCAGATTGGCTTGTTTGCAAAGGACATGAAAAAAAAAGTTTTCTTGGTGTGATGCTGGCTACCAGCTTATTCCATTACATGAAAACGACCAAATTGCTCTGGAAAACAAAGCCTTGTGTTAATTTTAAGATACAGATCAGTAAAAACAATTTGCTGAATTGACTTGGCTTTTCCTTAGCTACGTCCCTATATCTACCGCTGTGAATAAACACATGGTCACAGGATTTCCCAACGTCAGTGGTAGAACTAAGTAACTTCTCTCTATAACTGAACAGTAAGAGTGAAATGGTTAAATATCTCCACACTGGTCGCCAGTAGGTTCTGGACCCACAATTAATTCTTAACGATGATCAGCATCTAAGTAAACATAAAAACATTAATTGACTGCTAAGCAAAATTAATTGTCTATATCTCTACCATACTAACTGCATACAGTGTAGAAGACTGTTTGAAGAATAATTATGCATAATGTACATGCTGATAGAAGGGTGTAAAAGGTTAAGGATAGATTTTGATAACATTCTTAGTCTTTATTTTATACTGTTGATGTCAGAATCTTTTTGTGTTATTGATTTTTTCAACAGCAAAGAACATATCTTTTCAATGGATATCAGCAGGCATGCTTTAGAGGTTTGCAGACCTCAAGTATTAGCAGAGAAAAGGTGTGCAGTTTATTGAATTTCCATTTTCTGTGATAACTACACTGTACGTAAACACTTCAAAGTCACAAAAAAATGTTTTATAAGAGCCTTTATTCTGATTGGTTTGTAGTCTTAGATTACATGTGGCGGCATGTGTGGCCAAGTGGTTAACACCTTGAACTAGGCATCTCGAGGTCCGGGGTTCAAGCCTCGCCCGTCACATTGTTTCCTTAGGCACGGAACTTTACTCCACTTTGCCTCTCTTCACCCAGGTGTATAAATGGGTATCAGCGACATACTGCTGGGGGGTAACCCTGCAATGGACTAGCATCTCATCCAGGGGGGAGTAACATTACTTGTAGGTGCTTCAAAGGCCATCCTCTTTTTTTCCCGTTTAGCGTCGTCCGACTGACCCAAATTTTTGGCATTTTCAAAAAAGAAAAAAAAATTTACTACGTAGTTAAACCATTTATCACTTGAAATAATTCTTTTAATCTGAAAATGACCATAGTAACAGGATAGAGAAAAACAGGAACGAAGACAGGAACATTTTTTACAGTATATTGTGCATTTTGTTAATCCAGATATATATGAATGTTAACTTTTAACGTCATCCTGGGGTCCTAGGGCCTCCTATTCCGAGACTTCTTGTGTTTTTTTTTAGATTTTTTTTTTCAATCAGACCAGCCGACCCAATATCAGAAAAGGCATTCAATGCTAAACAAAAAAAATAGGGGATGGCTTAACGAAACTGGGATAAGCTTGGGCCATTTGAGCCTTTGGCTCATGTGCGTCTTTACCTTTTTACCTTGGATTACATGTCACTCTGAAAAATTATGTTAATGTCAAAATTTTTCTCATGGTGCCATTTTTAATTATTACAAAAGTCAAAACAAAATATTGATAAATGAATGGTAGAGTAAAACCCTCATAACTTGAACCTGCTTACATGCTTATTCAAGGTACCAGCTACCCCTTTGTTGTGTCTGATTTTGTTTTTCAGCTGTTCGATAAAGTTTTGATAGCTAACAGAGGAGAGATAGCATGCAGGGTAAGATAATTTATCCTATCAACAGTATATTATGACTGTGATTATCAATTCGCCCTATATCATTTTTTTTAAAATCATTTTCAGGTGATGAAAACATGCAAGCGTCTTGGAATCAAAACTGTAGCAATATACAGTGAAGCTGATGCCAATGCGGTATGTTTTGATAAGTTTTTGAGAACATTAATTTGCTGAAGTGATTCACAATGTGCTTGTCAAAATGTTAAATAAATGTTCGGTCTATTCTTGTCTTATAAAATCTGCATCAGAATATGCAGGCAGCACCTTACCGCTTATATATCAACAAGGAAAAAGTACAGAAGTGCGGTTAGTGCACTTAAGTTCTTACAAACAAGTGCAGGCTTTGGAAAGTGTTCCAGACATTACCATCATTTGCACTCTCCTGGGTTTTTCCAGGTAATCAGCCCACCCACATCTCCATAAAAGTCAAGTCGTTAACTTCTCTTCAATATCTTGATGAGATCTACAAATGTAAATGTTTTTATTATTATTATTGTTATTACTAGTCATAGTTGTCACTAAATCTGCCCCTGACCTTTTAAAACCCGAATGAAGATTCCTTGTGGTTGTCCATGTATTTGCCATGAACCTTTGAAATGCAGTTTTCGTATTAGAGTTTCTGAGTGTAATTGTTTTGTTGTCTGTTGTGTTTTCTCAATTATTACACTTTGTTTCCTGGGTGAATGAAAATCCAGATACATGTCATGCTTAGGATGGAAAATTGTTTTTTATACATCCCATAATGAGTTCAACCAACACTGCAAATGTAATAGAACGCGTGTTAAACAACAAAACCATCTTTAATTATTTATTTGTAAACTAATAATATAAATGTCCTATAACTAATGTGTCGAACGAATGCTTTGGATTTGAGTGTGACATTCTTGAACGCAACTGATATAAATGATTTCGCAATAAACTAACCCTGGTAACGGCACTCAAGTTAAGCCCTGTCGGTCGGGGTTACGAAGTGGATGGGTGACCAACCGCGAATATCGTCTTAAAGGTCCATACGTTGTTCTTTCTTTTCTTCTTCTTCTTTTTTGTGTATTATGTGGTGTTATTATTAAAAGTGTATTGAAAAGCAGATTTAGCATTATTTCGGTGTCCAGATTTAGAAAAAGACAAAAACAAAGAACAAATATGGCCCGGTGCAGTTCCCCTAAAAATCATTATTCTTTGGGCCGTAATACAGAGCTGAAACTTTGCAGACTTTGATCTATTATTCTGCGGGGAAACTGGCAAACTAAGAAATCTGGGTTTTCGACAGTGTAAAACGATCATAATTCATCTGATTCCAATCTCCTGTTCCTCTGTCTCTTGCTGTCGGCGTTGCCTTTGCTGTGCTAATCGATGTTCCTTCTGCTCCGCGGTTTCTTGTGGATGTCTTCTCCTTCATTGTTCACGCTGAATTTGAAGTCGGCGTTCTCTCTCCAGAGGAGTTTCGGTGGAAAATCTTCCTGGGCGAGGATTTGGAGCCACTTGTGTGCTTGTGTGTGACACAATTCGGCAAATGCGACTCATTGACAAACTCAGTTTGCGCGGTTGCTGAGCCAGGCACACACGCTGAAAAGTTTCATCAAATCGAGAAAATTTCGCATACTAACACTACGTCGATACGATACTTTTACTTTACGCAGGGGACATTAGGGTGCCTCCTCGGGTTCCGGCCTCTGGGCTGGAACCCTGCGGGGGCAATTATTATTATTATTGTAAAACCGCTCTTAAAATTTTGGCGTTAAAATTGTTCATGAGATTTGCTAAACTACACCTTATTGAAATAACTTCTGCGAAAAAATTTTGCGATTTGAACAAAACGCGATTTTTTAACCAATTTTTGAAGTCTACATTATTTTTGCGGTACACCCGTGCAGCTGATCACGCAAACTAGCAGGTTCACATATGACATCATGTGACGTAAATTAAGGAACTCGCTTTGCCTTGCCTTCATCAGCTGAATACAAAAAAGATCAATTACAAGTAAGGATTGAATCACAGTGTCTTAGCAAGAAGAAAGTTTTTCTGAAACAGAAAAACCTACCAGAACTCTTAATGTTTTCCTGTGGATAAAGTCACGTGTTCCTTAAAGTACGTCATACTCCAAGAGAAGACTAAGACAAATGGTGTGCCAAAAGTGGCGGCAAATTTGAACGTTTTTAAAAAATTCGCAAAAAATCGTCTTTGGTTCAAATCACAAAATTTTTTTGAAGAATTTTTTTTAATAAGATGTAGTTTCTGATAAGAAAATAAAAAATTTTAGGTGATGGGCACTTTAAGTATGTCCTAATTTATTGTAAGATATAAAGCAGACTTACCTGCCGAGCCTTTCTCTTTCACCTGTCGTATCCTAAGCACCAGCATTAACTTTGCATGTAACTTATTTTCCAGCTTCACGTAAAAATGGCTGATGAGTCATTTTGTGTGGGTCCACCGCCAACAAATCAAAGCTACCTGAACATGGATGCCATTATGGAAGCAATCAACATAACTGGTGCACAGGCAGTGAGTATACATGACTACCTATTCTGGCATTTAATTTTATATTTTTTTTACTCCTCAATTGTATTCAGGTGACTCTTCATCATGTTTATTCCAACCTCCTGTATTTGTTGATGAACTCTCCTCGAGTTGAATTTTAAGAACCTTGAATATTCAAGTTGAAAAAGGGGAAAATTTTCATTGTTGCCTGTTTACGTCCTCCATAATATGGAAAATTAGGCATTTTTGCGTCTTGGGCATTCACTAACGGTAAAGAGATGTGCAAAAAAAGTGTGGTACATGAACAGAGTTGTTGTTTTGCTTATTAAATCTGTTGATTTTTTTATGTACTTGATGCCTTCACCACCTGGATGCACTGGATATTCTGCTATTCTGAGAGCATTTTACATTACTTGTATTTTGTTGAGATTGTTACAGTTATGCCAAAAAAATGGTTCTCTCTTTCAACTCCTCCTATCTTTTAAAACTCCTTCCTGGGCCCTTGAAATTAAATATAATGCCCCAGTTGTCTATTAGATCATTTACGTTTACAATGAAGTTTTGACATTAAAGGATCCGACAGACTTCTTAAAGTGATACATTTCTTTTCAGGTCCATCCAGGATATGGCTTTCTATCAGAAAACAGCAAGTTTGTGGCTAGATTGGTGAATTTTTTTTTTTTTCATATAGTGTATCTTTTTCCTTTAGTGCATCTTTCACATGATGTAGAACCAGTTTAAAAAGTGGTTAAAAACGAAATAATACTTTAAACAATTCTGACTGACTCACTGACTGACTGACTGGCTGACTGACAGACTGGCTGAATGACTGACTGCCCAACTGGCTAGTGAGTGACTGACTGGCTGACTGACTAGATGACTGACTGACTGAATGACTGTATGACTGACTAGCTGACTTACTGGCTAATTGACTAACTGACTGAATGACTTACTTACTGAGTGAATGACTGACTGACTGACAGACTTACTGAGTGACTAGCTGACTGACTGCATGACTGGCTGATTGACAGACTGACTGACTGACTGGCTGAATGACTGACTGGGGGCGGGGGGAGGGCTAGTTACACACTGGTCACATGAAATAATTATGAATCAATAATCCCCATGCATTTTCTAAAAGAATAAGTTGAGATATTTTAATTAGAGGTCAAAGCATTTTTCCTCTGGGGATCAATTTATTAATTCTCATAACTTTTTTGTTCCTGCTGTTGCGAGAAAATTTGATGAACACTCTTGTGTTTCTAACTCTTCATAACATTTGGTTACACAAAAGCATACTCTTCTGTTTATTTTTAACAACAGGAAAAGGCTGGTGTGACATTCATTGGTCCCAACGCTGCTGCAATGCAAGCAATGGGAGATAAAATTCAAAGCAAACTGATTGGCAAGAAGGCTGGTGTCAGCATCATCCCTGGATTTGAAGGAGTTGTAAAGGCAAGTGACCTGCAAGACATTATTTATTTCATTAATCATGCACTTTAAGCTATTAATCCAAGTTTTTGTTTATCATAAAATCTAATTATAATGAAAAGTAGGAAGAAAAAAAATAAAAATAACGAATGTTTTAGCATGAGAGGTCACATATAACATAACAGTTAACAAAGCCAATGCTAGAATAGCCAGTGAGTGAACAAATCAGTATTGTTAAAAATCAACAATCTTTTCATTTATAAATTAAAAAAAGGAATGTTCCTTTTTCGATGGTGCTACTGGAGGATAAGCATAGTTTTAGCTAAGGAAAACTAAGCAGGCTTTTATTACAAGTCAAGCTGGCCTCTTAACTCAACTGCATCTTCA